ATGTGTGTGTGGGAATGGGATGGGAGGAAGGGAGGGAGAGGGAACTAGAATGGATATGTAAAATAAGAATATATATATATATATATATATATATATATATATATATATATAAGAATTCTTTGTATTAGTGGAAGTTGTAAAACAAAATATGTAGAAAAAGAGAACTATATACAAGGTAATAAATTGGTAAATTACAACTTCTTTTGCCTATTTTTGTTGACAAGATTAAAATTTAACATATTTTCTTAATCATTAAACCAGTAAGTCAATAATAATAACAATAATAATAATTATTATTTATATTTAATTATTAAATATGGGAATTTAGCTGATTATGAAAGAAAAATATACACTTCACCACATTTAGGACCCTTGTGACTGTGCTTTCCTTCGCTGAAATCTCTATAGTCCAACAAATGAGAATAAAACAGAAGACCAAGATTTCTTACTTTCAAAATGAAGCACACAATCAGCAAAAGACAACAATAGTGACAAATTGCAAGGATGAAATAGGACCTTCACTTGCATATAGGAGGGAAAAAAAGGCACAGAACCCTTGTAATGAAAATATGACTGAGATGATTAATTTCATGTCAGAAGACACATTTATATAAGAAATCCTGTAACATATATGTCTTGATGAAAAGACACCATCCCTTGAGGAAACTTCTGATTAAAGGCTCATTATTAAGTTTCTCTATGTTTCTCTAAGGATTTAACAAACTCTTAAGCACTTAATGACTCCCTAAAGACATTCCACTTCCTGAATTTTGAAATGATTACAAGTATAGTCAAAGGAAGCAGACCATATAATTTTTGAAAAACTATGTAATCGTGAGCTAAAATTACAGATATAAAATAATCAAATGAATGAAAATACTTATGGACTCTCAGGTATCAACATTATTTTTAGGATATCACAAAGTATATCTATGTCTTGTCTTCATTGGATGACACAAATCACATCCAGTAAAAGCATAGCCACTCATTCAGTTGCTTTAATGTTTTCCTTATCTAGCATGCATCTGCTTATGCAGAATTTTGTGGTCATTTATTCACTTTAAATCACCACAACAGGAATTTTGGAAGTAGTGTTTTAGGTTGTTTGTATGTGTGTGTATCTATTTCTAAAAAATAAAATTTAATATCCTATTGGGTTTATTTTTAATATATTGTGAAAGTTAGTAATGGATAGTCTCTTACACCTGTCAGTACAGATATGGACAACACGAAATGTGAGAAATGTATCCTTGAATACCTCGTATGCTAAGTGGGATCTTGTCCGAGAAACAAATAAACAAATACTATTTGCACATTTTAGGCAATGAACTTTGGTAATATTCTGAGGAAAGTCAGAATATTCTTCATTATTTTTGTGGAAACCTCTCAATAAATGATTTCACTTATGAAATATAATTTCATAAAATGTTAAAGTTATTTATTAGAAGAATGTTATTTTTACTCTTTAATAGGTAATTTATTGAAGGTAAACCAGTTCTCAAAAATTTTCCATTGTCTTTATATTACGATTATTTTTTTGATAAGAACATCAAAATAGGCTTAGGGTGGTGGCACATTCCTTTATTCCCAGCATTCAGGAGAAAGAGGCAGGCAGATCTTTGTGAATTTTAGGACAGCCAGCCTGGTCTACAAAACTAGTTATAGGACAGCAAAAGATTTACAAAGACAAACTGTCTCAAATGACAAAAATAAATAAATAAATAAACAAGCAACCAAAAACAAACAAAAATGGACATCAAAATAATTACATAAAAGACATAAAAATTGGTCTTTTACTTAATTTTAGTGCCTTGAAATTATATTCTTAAATGGATTTAGTAACTTTGGGAGAGTCCCTACCTAGGTCAGTCTTCAAAACAAACTGTATTTGGGGAAGACAGGGGGGAAGGTAAACTTTGATTGGGATGTAATACATGAGAAATGAATAAATAAATATTTGAGAAAATACATAAATAAATAATGGAACTTATGGTGAAGAGTTTGGAGATTTTTATGTAAGGCAATATGGCATCTACAAATAAGGATAATTCTTTTTATTTTCTCTCATCATTATAGATAAATTGTTTAGCAATATGTTCAACAGGATTAGAGAGAATAGGAATCCTTGTCTTGTACCTGATTTTAGTTTACCTATTTTTGTTCATTTGTTTGGTTTTGTTTCTTGAGATGTGATTATTCTCTCTATCCCTGGCTGTCCTGGAGCTCACATAGACCATGCTGGCCTTGAACTCAGAGATCTGCCTACCCCTGCCTCCCGAGTGCTGGGTTTAATGGTCTGCACTGCCATGCTTTGGTTTTATTGTGTATTTAACATGGTATTGTTGTATGTTACCATTATTGGAATGAGGTATATCTCCCTATATCTTAAGAATGCTGAAGTTACATCACAAAAGGATAGTATAGTTTTGTTAAATGTCTTTTCTACATATAAGGAGATAGTCATTTGGTTTCTGATCTTGAGTCTATTTATATGTGATAGGTTACCTTTATAGGTTAACCTATGTTGAACTATATTTGCATGTCTAGAATAAAACATGATGCAGTCTTCCTAATACATTCTCAAATAATTGGCAAGTATCTTACTGACAATAGTTGTGTCTATGTTAATCGGGTAGATTGGCTAAATAAAAGTAGTTTGTAGAGTTTCTTCCTATTTCACTTTACAGAATAATTTATGGAGTTACAGTGTTATTTTTATATGCCCAGAATTGAGGAAGTGGCCCATGTCTCCAAATTCAAGGCTAGCCTATTAGTTTCTTAGTTCAAAGACAATCAGAAATACATACAGAAGCACTACCCCCTAAGGAAACAATACCCATTCATTCAGAATAACTCAACTGCTAATAGCTGCTTATTTAGGTGGGAAACTAAGGGTCTCCTCCATCAATTCTGGAAAATTTAATTGTTTTGTGCGAGTACAAATCTTGTGAAGTTAATCATGTCTTCTGCAAGATCTTGTGTGAAACAGTCATGTAATGTCCATACAATAGTATTTCACAGCTCTTTGTATCATTTCCAGTGTCTTAATGTTCTTTCTTAACCTGATTAATGATGTTTTCTCAGTCTTGTGATTTGAATGGCAGGTTGATGTAGATGTCCCATCTATGGATTATCAGTTCCAGTTACTTATTCTCAGAATTTTGACCAGTTATTAATCTCTGCATTCACTACTACTTACTATAAGAAGCAGCATCTTTGACCAAGATTGAGAACAACACATATATGCTGCTGCAAACAGAAGTATATACATGGCAGCTTGACAATATTATCATTGATAAAAACAAAAACAGTTTATTTTTCTTTCAAGCTATGGCCTTCTGAGCTATGTTTGTATATTTTTTTCCATCTTCATAGTATAGACTTTCTATGTACCAGTCCTCAAATCTAGGCAGAAACAGGTTATTTATACCTGTAAAGTATCTTATCACTTTTGTAACAGTTGGCACATCTTTCCTGGTAGGCTAGATTTGTAGCTTACAGGGTCAGATTCTGCATAAATCATGGATATCTTTTATCCCCAGCATAGTGCATAGAAATTTTTAGTTCTATGAAAGCTAGACAACATGGAGAAACTCTCCTGATCAGTTTGAGATTAATTTCTCAATGTCTTATAAGCAAATGTCTGGTGGCTTCAGCAGTAGGGATATTTACACTTAGTAATAGTGAATAAGAAAAAACAAAAACAATAGGCTTAATGGGGTTCATTGCCCATGGACCAATATTGTATATAAATATAAATTCCTTGGTTTTCTAAAGTAAAACTTTTTATGCTTACAATATTATAAATCAAATTTCATGGCCACAATACAGAAAATGTACACATAATTTATTTTAAAATTGCTTGTATTTGTTTCTCAATAAATATTTCAAGCATTTATGAAAATATTTTGGGTTATAAGATTTGTTACTTATCACCATATATTGATTAGTTTAACAAAAATATATTGGAATCATATTGTGTTCCTTTCTTTTCAATTACTATCTTGCCAAATCATTAAAAAATGTTGTTTGGAGCTAGAAAAATAACTCATAGATTTAGAATGATGACAATATTTTTAATTACTAATGTAGTTTTATCTCATGGTCCTACCATCAAAAGAAAAGAAATAAAAATGAAGAAATGGTAAAACCAGCAATCCCATTAATATATTTTACTATTCCAAAAATACTGTTAACATATCAACAAATGTTCTCTACAGTGTGTTAGAAGAACAGATCATTCTTGAATGACATACCCATATCCCCACCCCCATTGTGCTTGCTTTAAAAATATTTTATCCTGACTGTACTCATATGTCACAGCTAGGGGATATGAAGGAAAGAGTCAATCAGTTATCAATATGAACTTTTTAACAAGACCCTGTTCACAATAAGTAAAATGTAAGTAGGATATTTTACTGTTAAATGTGAATGAGGAAATTCCTACTGAATCTGAGAAAGAAGGAAGACTATGTGGAGCCAGGCAAGTTCTTGGTTGGTAGAGTAATGAAGACTCTGGTACAGACAGTTTGAACAAAAGTAGAAGTAGAAAAAGATTGCTGTGTTAAAGAAATAACATGAGAATGTACCATGCCAGCTGAGTTAAGATGGTTTACGGAGGAGAGGAAAAGGAAGAGGTACCACATGAGTGAACCTTCATGTCACTGATACACTTAATGGCCTAAAAGAGTAGGAAAGAGACACAGAAAGAGAGAGAGAGGAGGAGGGTGAAAGAAAAGAAAGAACATACAACTTACATGTATTGATCAATTGTGAAAGAAGCAGCTTTTACTTTTGAGCAGTTTCTCTTTCTATATTTTATTTTATGCTTGTTTATTGAAGTATATGAATGTTCATAAATTATACTTCTTTACATCATTGTAAAGCACATGACTCAATAATTTCTGTCACTTTAATAAAAAAAAAAACCTTAATATGTTTTTCAAACAATTCAGTGTTTTCATGTCTTTTTTTTTTTTTTTAATAGAAATAGCCCGAGATCAACAAGAGAAACATTTCATCTCCATGGTCTTTTTCACAGCATCTTTTACTTCTTTGATCCTTAAGCTGTAAATCAGTGGATTCAGCATGGGAACCACCAGGGTATAAAATACAGATACAACGTTCTCTTGTTCTAAGGAGTATTGGGAGCTTGGCTGAATATAACTGAAGCTTACTGAGCCATAAAATAAAGTCACAGCTGTCAGATGGAAAGCACAGGTGGAGAAAGCTTTGCGCTTCCCTGCTGCTGAGCAGATCCTCAGGATAGCAACAACAATGAAGAGGTAGGAGACTACCACAGTCAAGAGTGTAGTTATGGCAATGACTCCAGAGAAAATCAAAAGCAAGAGTTCATTCATTGAGGCATCAGAACAGGATAGCTTCAACAGGGGAGGAAGGTCACAGAAGAAGTGATTGATGACATTTGGTCCACAGAAGGACAGCTTCATTAATCCAGTTATAAGTGTCAGTGAGTTTATAAGACCTCCTAGGAATGAGCAAAGCACCAGCCCAACACAAACCATTTTAGTCATGACCACTGTGTAAACTAAAGGGTGTATGATGGCCATATAATGGTCATAAGCCATTGCAGCCAGCAAAAATCCTTCTGTGGTAACCAATAATGCAAACAAAATATATTGCGCAATGCATGCAGATAATGAGATGGTCTCTTTCTCAACAAAGAAGTTCATTAGCATTATAGGTGCAAAAACTGAGGAATACCATGTATCCACAAAGGACAGAGACCCAAGGAAATGGTACATTGGTGTGTGGAGTTTAGGAGTTATGTAGATCAGAAGGAACATTCCTGAATTCCCCACCAAGGAAATGACATAGATTAATAGGAACAGGATGAAGAGAAACACTTTGAGTTCTTCATGATCTGTCAGTCCCATAAGGATAAACTCAGTAACAAATGTAAAGTTGACATCTGCCATGTACTTTTTGGCCTTAGTATCTATTAATAACAAGAAAGTTGGATAAATTGACAGTAGTAGTAGAACCTAAATGTCTTGGGAATTCCAATCTAGATATGTTATCCGTACTTGAGAATTCTCTCTGGCTATCATGTTGATAAACATAGAAAGGTTTAGCTAAGACATGTATAATTTCCAAAAACACAGAATTTGCCTCTTCTACTTAATTGTTTAAATAGATTAAAAGAAGTTAGATTCATAGATGAGGGATCCACTTAAATGCAATGTTGTAGGTGCTAGGAAGCTAAACTTAACTTCTTGGTTTCAACAGGTAAATTCTAATTTATTAACATGAAAGAACTAAATTAAAAAATTAACAGTTATTTTTCATTCAAATTATCCTTATTTATACTTAGTTTTATTATAATTACATCTCATTTAGAATATATCAAGAACTAATATATTAACTCTAGTTTCTTTAAAAATTTAAGACTATTTATTGGGTATGTGACTTAATGAAGTAGCAGTTGCTTATGTCTCTGATCACAATTTGAAGAACATACATAAATAATAAAGAATATTATAGTATTTTGACTATATCCTGAAAGGTCAAAATTAGTTACCATTCTACATATCGTTCCAGTGTGGGGAGGCATTGTATACAAGACTTCATTCATGATAGGCAAGTGCATAATGAATGAGACACACTGTCTTCCAAGTGTGATAGCAGAGAATTATAAGAGAACACTCCCAATGGTGTTGTTAGAGGATAGTCAGAGGCATTGGATTCTGAGAAGTTCCCATTCTGTGATTGGTATCAAAGGATGCTTTGATCTTCAATAACAAAGACTCATCCAAAACAACATATAATTAGTGTCTGACATTTCATAAAAATATTTTGTCACAGGAATCTTATGTATAACCAGTGTTGTTTTAAAAATAATATAACCACATAAAATTAAACAAATCTTCAAACAAACATAATATTTTGTGATCATCCTGCAATGTAGACTTTAGAGTAAATGGTATGTTTTCTGCTTAACTATAAATATCTCTCTGTTAGTAGACATTTCCTCTGAAACTTTTAACTTATCCAGGATAGTGGAGGATTTTCCACAGAGGACCTAGTTAACTAAATTTCCTCTAATTCCCTATAAACAAGGTAGAATGCAAATAAGTAATTTAAACATATTAGTGGTAATGTAATTGATTAAGGATAAATTAATTGGTTTTATTGCTAGATTGAACATCATTTTATTCTTTATACAGTCTGTAAACCTTAGGAAAAGAAACATATTGTAAGAGGATTGATACAGCAACAGGAAGACAGACATCTTACATTTCGGTTATTTATAGTAACAATTGAATGATAGAAATAAAAACTGATTATTTTGATTACAATTGCTTTTGTTGTATGAATATCCTTTTGAATTAACACACTGCATTTTGATGTTGTACTTACATTTAAAAGAATTTGAAATATAGGTTAAGAGGTTTGAATTGATGACTAAATTACAAGCTATTCCATTTCTGTACTTGATGAATCTAGCAAGCTAAAATCCTCCTTAAGAAGGGTTATTATAAGAAGCTTCAGAGGGAGTAAAGTTAATGGAGAAATAATGTAAATATAATTATTTCAAAAATAAAAACAAATACTTGCTCATTAAAAAGTAATTGATTTAAACAATGTGTGACTGGATGGATATAATAAAATTCAGCTTATTCATGGAAGGAAAATAGATTCAAAATCAGCATCTAAGGAATATAGTGACCATCCAATATATACTTATCATTCCCTAAAATTATATCAAACCAAAATCAGAACAGTCAAAGGGCCTAACTTTTGAAATGGTGTGTAAATTCAGTCAAAGACTCTACCATAGACAGCAGGGTTGAAATTCAAACTTATCCTTACATAAAGGAAAGTTCAAAGTAAAGAACCCATGGTATGTTAATGCATGTGAGACAATTATAACATGCAGAAGACTGATTGTGTATGTATGTACTTTGGTTCAAAGGGAATAGATACCATGAAGTTAATTTCTGATGCAAAAGATGTAATACACATATTATTAAATTTCTTCTTGTTTCTCAAGGGAAGAAGGAATGCTCACAAAGTTAATATCTCCCCTAAGGCATTCCATTTGAGGGATTTTATAATGAATACAAGCAAATGGAAGGAAGTATGGAAAAATACAACATACGATTTATGAAAAAAAAGCAACAAAGTGGGATGAAATGTCTTATTGTTCCTTTAGAACTTAATTGGAATTCATTCCTTGGGTCAGTGTCACAAATGGAAAACAAATGCAAATGGAAAGAGTAAAAATCCATTTCTATCTCTTAACTCCAATAGAAGACTATAAAGAAATAAAATAATATCCTAATAAAATAAATTAATAATTCCTTTGGGGATCAGTTGAATTAGGTTTGTCAAAATTTGTATTAACATTACTAAAATTTGCATAGAATTTTTTCTTTTTCCTTTAGGATAACTACTTTTTAAAATTTTATTTAAGATTACAATTATAAATTTTATTTCTTATCTTTCCTCCTTCCAAACCTTTCCATATAATTCTCCCTGTTTTGTCTCTAATTAGTAGCTGTTTTTCACTAAGTATTACTGGCTTCATTCATATATTGTACCTTGTAGCTATGTTTCATGGACTGGCAATTTGACACTGGAAAATAAATCACTGAGTTTTTCTTTATGGAAAATGACCTCTCTCTTCTCAATATTTTCTCTGTTGTCTACAGACTTTGTATATAGATGAGGTCCCATGGTCTATGTGCCACCTTGGTGTGTCCATAGGTGTTGTTACTAAGTGCATGATTGGGTATTCATGTTAGGGAAACATTGTGTTCTGATATTACTAGGGACAGCTACAACCAGTACTTTACTAAACTCTAATTATTAAAACATGTGTCTTAATAATCACAGATATGTACAGTTCTCATCCCACATCAGGGAAAGTTTTCCTGCCAAAGATGGAAACCACTTGAGAAATCCAAAAAAATTAAATGCACAGATAATGAGTCCACTACTAATGGATACAATGCAGGAAAACTATTATACTTAAAGCTCAAAGAACACTGCAGAGGAGAAGACAAATAATAGTAAATAAAAACTAGAGGATCGGGAAGTTTTCTTTGAGACTGTGTCTCCTTTTCCTATTAATATCAGAAGTTGCATTGCATTTTAAAATCACTTATTATGAAAGCCTTCCATATAAAATCATTCTGGAATTGTGTTAAATAGTATGTACGTACTCATCATTTCTGATTCAGAAGCTAACCATTTAATAAAATAAAATAATTATGACATGCCAAGACATTAAGCTTGGCAAGGTTAGTGTGGGGTGTACAGTAAGAAGTGTGTGCAATTCAAAACTAGTGGAACCAATCTAGTATAATTTACTTGCAGTGATTTCTTTAATGGCTACACCAGTTTGTAATCCCACCAACAGTATATGACTGTTTTCTTTCCCCATATCCGGGACAGCATTTGATGCTTTTCAGTTTTTGAACTTAGTCATTCTGACTGGGGTAAGATAAACAAAGTCTTAGTTGGTAAGTGTCTGAAGGTGAAGGAGGTTGCACGTTTTAAAAACATATTTTTACTTATTTATTTATTTTTCACTTTACATGTTGATCACAGTTCCCTCTCCCTCTCTCCCTCCCTCACATGCACCCCGACCACCCTCCCCTCCCATCCCACCCACCCCAATTTCACATGTAGGGCAATGCCATCCAGGTGGGGTCATGTACATCTGACACGTCATTTGAAGTAGGGACTAGGATTTCTCTCCTGTCTCTAGGTTAAGGCAGTTATCCCTCCATGGGGGATGTGTCCGAAAGGTCCTTTTGTGCACCAGGAATACATCCTGGTTCCACTGTCTGAGGTCATTTAGACTGCTGAGTTCTTCTGGCTGAGACCCATATTCAGGGGGCTCTGAGTCAGTCCCATGCTGGATTCCCAGCTATCAGTCTGGGGGGCCATTAGCTCCTCCTTGTTCTGTGTGTTTCTGCAACCTGATCTTTTCCTCTCCCTCAGCATCTGGATTCTAGTTCAACTCAGTGTTTAGGTATGGGTGTATGCTTCTGTTTCCAACAGGTACTAGATGAGGGCTTCATGATGGTGGGTAAGTTAGTTGTTGATCTCACAATCCAGGAAGGGCAGTTATGGTAGCCTTTCCACAGTTGCTCAAATTGTTATTTGACGGCAGTCTTATAGGTCTCTAGAACTTTCTTTAGGTTCAGTTTTCTCTTCAATTATATAATGGCTCCCTCTTTTATGGTCTTTCTCTCTCTCTCTTTCTCTCACTCACTCACCCTCTCTCTTCTGTCTATGCCTACCCTGACTCAATCTTTCTAGTCTCATGTGCTTTCCTCTCCTCCCCTTCTCTTTCTCCTACTTCTCTCTCCATTCACTGCCCCCCCACTTCCCATGTGCTCTGGGAAACTTGTCCCTTCCCCTTCAGTGAGGGACTTTATATGAATCTCTTAGAATAAACCTTGTAACCTAGTTCTTCTGGTGGTGTGAATTATTGGCTGGTGATCATTTGCTCTAGGTCTAAATTCCATATGTGAGCGAGTTCCTCTTTTTGTGACTTGGTTACCTCATTCAGGATGGTTTCTTCAAGTGCCATCCACTTGCCTGCAAATTTCAAGATTCCATTTTTTTTTTCTGCAGAGTAGTATTCCATTGTGTAAATGTGCCACATCTTCTTTATCCATTCTTCAGTTGAGGGACATCTATATTGCTTACAGATTCTTGCTATTACAAATAGTGCTGTTATGAACATAGTTGAACACATGTCTTTGGCGTTTCTGGTTTTAAAATTCTGAAAAGATTAAATGGTGTCTCAGCATTGTTTTGATTTTCATTTCCTGAAGGCTGAGCATATTGAGCACCTTTTAAAATGTCTTTCAGCCATTATAGAATCCTCTACTGAGAATTCTCTATTTAGATTTTTATGCCACCTTTTTATTCTATTTGGTGTTTTGGCGACTAGCTTCTT